CATTCTGTGGCTCATTCGGGCCCCGCTCCCCGGCAGTATTCCCCACTGGGTCCCTCTGCTGCTACACTAGCAGTGTTTAAACTCCCCCCGTCCTTCCAGCTCGCAGTCCGGGTACAGACAGTGAATAGGAACGCTAACTAGCTAACAGCAGCTAGTACAGTTAGCATATGCAGCAGGGCAGCGGTAAGAGACTTCCTGTGTCACAAGAGAAAAGGTCCGTGTGGCAACAATCCTCTGATCCTTTGGTCCCGGGGACGAAGAGCAGCTCCTGATGCAGTTTAATGTTGGTTTCTCTGAGACTGTCAGACTGAACGCGGGTCGACTGAGACTCTTTCTTTGGGCGGGCCTGAACAGAAACCAAACCGTCAACATACGGAAGATTGTTTCATTTAGTCTCTGTGTTCACAGCAACCAATCAGAACAGAGCAGGAAACGACACAGAATACTTACTTATGATGACATCCTTGACTGATAATAACAATAACAATAATAACAATAACAATAATAACAATAATAATAATAATAATAATAATAATTAAAGCTGCAAGCAGCGTTGAGCGGGACCTCGCACTCCACCCAACTTGGGGCGTGCTGCGGCCGCGTCGCGTGCCGTCGTAACACGTGGGGACCACAACATGAAAATGTCACGTAAATCAGCTCAAAATCGCCAAGCAGCGCTTACCTCCTGTTGCCAGAAGATGGCGCTATCACTATGTCTTAATATTGTCATGTAGACAAGTTCAGGGCGGGACTGTTGTAACACACCTTAAGTTTCATTGAGATTGGACCACGTACGCTGAAGTTACGAGGACGTGTTCCGGGCGAGACTGTTACAGAATATATGAAGTTTACTGGAGATTGCACAATGCACACTGAAGTTATGAGTGCTATTTCATGGCGGATCCACTGAATTCGACAAGTCGTCACCGGCACGGTCCTTTCACGTAACGCAGCTCAAAATCGTAACGCAGCTCAAAATCGCCACGCAGCGCTTACTTCTTATTGCCAGTAGGTGGCGCTATCACTGTCTGAATATTGTCATGTAGACGTGTTCAGGGTGGGACTGTTATCAAACACGTGAAGTTTCATTGAGATTGGATCATGAACGCTGAAGTAATGAGGACGTGTTCAGGGTGGGACTGTACACTGAAGTTGAGTACTATCTGTTTATGGTGATTGGTCGAAATTCAACGCAACGCCACGGGTACGCCGTTTGACGGAATGTCGTAAATAGCACAACTTTTAATCATGAATGTCTTTAGATTGCGCTGATTAAATTTGAAGTTGATCCGATAAATTCCCTAGGAGGAGTTCGTTCAAATACAAGGCAAAAAATCACAGAAAATGAGCATGGAATGCAAAATGGCTGACTTTGATGCCAAGCCACGGACACGCCGTTTGACGGAATGTCGTAAATAGCACAACTTTTAATCATGAATGTCTTTAGATTGTGCTGATTAAATTTGAAGAAGATCCGATAAATTCCCTAGGAGGAGTTTGTTCAAATACAACGCGAAAAATCACAGAAAATGACCAAAAAAATCTAAATGGCTGACTTTGATGCCACGCCACGGACACGCCCTTCAACGTACATGCACAAATAGCACAACTTTTAATCAGGACCATTTTTTGAGTGTACTCACAAATTTTGAAGCATATCCGATAAATTCCCTAGGAGGAGTTCGTTCAAATACAACGCGAAAAGTTCGCCGAAATCGAAACTTTAAATCAAAATGTCCAACTTCCTGTGGGGTTTCGGGTATGGGTCCAAGAGGCTTCTTTGTACGTCTCCGCATGTTAAACATGCCTACCAAGTTTCGTACATATCGGTGAAACGTGGCGCCGGGGCTGCTGTTTTTTTATCCTGTAGGGGGCGCTACACACACGACAAACACGATTTTTGGTATGTGAGCTTCAGGCACTACTCTACACGTGCCCTGTGAATTTCATATTCATAACTATTACGGTGTCCGCACAGTGATTTTTCATGCCAAAAGAGCGCCACCTAGTGGCGTATTTTTTTTGTCCTTTTTAAGTGAGCCTCAGGGGGCCATGGGGAAGCATCGTACCAAGTTTCATCTTAATCTCACGTACCGTTGTAGAGATATAAACGTCTTCATTTTAAAGAGCGCCACCTAGCAGCAATGGCCTGAAATTGTGCACGATGCTTAAGGAAGACATGTTGAACTATGGACCCAAGTTTGGTGTCAATCGGACATACCAGTGTGGAGAAATGGTCAACTTCCTTTTTTGACGGAAAATCAACAGGAAGTGCTAATTTTATAGCGTGCTTATTGTTGGAAATTTCAAAAATGTTCAAATTAGTTTTTTTGCCAGGGCGGTCCCCAGGTGCTAGGTGAAAAATTTCTTGCGAATCAGACACAGCGTGTAAGAGGAACACGAAAAAGTAGTTTAAGGACATTTCACGCTCTAACGAAAGAAAATTATAGGCGGAAGTGGGCGGGGCCTATATGGAGAGATTCAGCTTCATTCACCGAACGCGTGGATATAAGTTTTTTGAATGTGCGACAAAATATGCAAAAGTTATTAAGTAACCAAAAAGTGAAAATACTTTCCTAAATAGTAGCGCCACCTAGTGGCCGACCTGAAAAAGACACATAGAATATCAAATTTTTCACCAGGCCTGAAAACTTTGCCAAATAAAATTGACTTTTCGTATATATTCAGGGGGGAGAAAAACGCAATCAAAAGTGCTAAAAATAATAATAATAGGGAAGAAGAAACGAAGCAAAAACAATAGGGACCTCCAGCGGTCGCTTGCGAGGTCCCTAATAATAATAGAATATCAGAACAACTCGTCTCTGATCAATATTGTTGGTTCGTTAACTTCTATCCAGCTTTGTGGCTGTTTCCACGTTCTTCAGTCGACTGACAGTTGAGCAAGAGTTCACACTGACTTTTAAATCCAATCAGCTGATCTCAACACAGACGTGTGTGTGTGTGTGTGTGTGTGTGTGTGTGTGTGTGTGTGTGTGTGTGTGTGTGTGTGTGTGTCTGTGTGTGTGTGTTTGTTTGTGTGTCTGTGTGTGTGTGTGTGTGTGTGTGTGTGTCTGTGTGTCTGTGTGTGTGTGTGTGTGTGTGTGTGTGTTTGTGTGTGTGTGTGTGCGTGGGCGGTGCAGATCCCAGCTGTCAGTTTCCCATAGCAACCAGAAATATTCAAACTCGTGTGAGAAACAGAAATGTGGTGACTCTGGGCGAGTACACCCTCGTCTCTGCCTCACAGGAAGGTCAACTCAGCCTGTGACCTCTGACACAAACATCATGAGGTCAGAGGTCGGGAGGATGCGGTTTCTCAGAAACCTTCCAGGCCAGAAATCCTTCTTCCTGTCTTACTGAGCAAAATATGAAACTACAAGCAGCAGCCACTTAGCCTAGCTTAGCATAAAGACTGGAAACAGGGGGAAACAGCTAGCCCTCCATATATCTGGTGTGTTTAATCTTCCTGGATTCTCTGCTGGTTGTAATGATGTAGCAGTAGTAGATGTTAGCCAGGAATATGAGTGTAACTGTTGGTTCTCTGAAGGACTTCCAGCTGTTTGTGTGTAAAACTCAAACTAAAGATCTGTACTCTGATGTTGAGCACCTGAACGCACCATCAGTCTCATTGTTCCTGTCAGTCGGTTTGCAGGGATTAGTTAATCTGACAGATGGTGTTTGGTTTCAGATGTTTTGCTGACGGTCTGTCACTACCTCCATGTTGACACTCCAAACTTTCCCATGATGCAACAGGAGAGGAGTCCCAAGCTCAGCACTTTCTGAACCTTCATGTTTCCGCTGCAGTCTGCAGTTTGTGGTAAACGGACCTGTACAGCACCTTTCTAGTCCCCCGACCACTCAAAGCGCTTTTACACTACGTGCCACATTCACCCTTTCACACACATTCACTCAGTGATGGCAAAGTCCATCAAACAGAAACTAACAGTCATACACGGCATCAGGAGCTCAGGGGTTCAGTATCTTGCTCAAGGATACTTCGAAATGTAGCACCAGGAGCCGGGGATCGAACCCACAACCTTTCGATGAAGGAACGACCCGCTCTGCCTCTGAGCCACAGCTGCCACAGCGGTGTTTTGCTGTGGTGGATCGTTTGTAGTTGTGGTCTAGATTGTTGGTTCTCAACGTGGGGTCTGGGGACCCTCAGAGGTCCTCGAGAGGGTTCCAGGAAACACTGAATAAAGCAGTTCCACCTTAAAACTCTCTGCTTCTCCCACGCTGTTGATAACTTAAGATCCAGACGTCCGATGACTAAAATCCTTCATCCGGTTCAAATCTAGAGTCAGAGTTTGGCGAGCAGCCAGTGTTCCTGTCTATTCCAACAGCTCGCCGTCTGTCTGCAGCCTTTTATTTCACCAAGCTCTCTTTAAAAGCCAGACCCACATTCTCTCGTCTGAGCGTCCTCCGTCAGCGTCCTCTGAGCTCTGTCCAGAGAAGCTGCTGAGCCCGGTTACACTGCCTGCTCGCACCGCTCCGGTCGGGCACGGTGCGTCCTCCCGGCGTCCAGAGCAGTACGGCTAATCTGACTAGCTAACAGCGGCTACATTTCGCAGCGGTTACTTTACCGTCTGTCAGAAAATATTTTCTCCATAAAATATGATCCAGTTTCAGTGAGTCGTTGGTGTGAGACCCAGAGGACGAACAGAGGAACCGCTGACCCAGCTACAGTCTTTAATGTCTGTTTAGAAAAACTCAAATGAAATGCAGAATTGGGTTCATTTTGTATCTCATGTGTTTGTGTGCAGGACCTGAGCGTGGTGGCGATGCCCTTCCTGGAGGGAGATCCAGGTCGAGCAGAGAGAGACGGCAGCAGGAAGGTAGCGCCAAAGGTTTCTGTTTAGTCCACCAAACTGCACTGACAAAACCAGTAAATTAACCTAGCAGATAATCGTAAAACACACTTTTTGTTTGTCTTTCCAACAATCAGAGACTCTGATAATAAAAGAGTGTGTTCAGTTCAAACCCTCAGATAGTGATTCAGTGGT